CCGTCGATGCTTTAGGGGGCAGGAGGAGGAGGAGGGTTGTGGGTGTTTTTTTCCTGCTGTCTCTGGGAGAGGAAACCAAACCTCCCCTTTCTGGGTGTTAACTCTCCAGCCCCCATGGGTTGGGTTTCAAACCACGTTTCTTAGGACTCGTTCTTTTGTAATAATGATTTGCGCTGTTGTTTTTATGAAGAGGTAAAGGCAACAAGCTGGGAACCAAAAAGCATATGCTCGTAGGTTTTGTTGTATAAATGAAGGTGAATAATTAACCTGTTACACTTGATATTTTTGCAGATCAGAAGAAGGAGGAAACTATGCCCACAGAGGGAGAGAAATCTCCCGAGGCAGAGAATAACAGCAATAATAATAAAAAAGGGAAAACTGGAGGCTCACAGGTAAAGCACACACACCCGAAAAAGGGAAGCACCCAGACTATTAGCATGTAAAATGAAATGTTCAGCTAACAGCATTTCCTGCTCAGGGCATCTTTCTTTGGGTTGGATGAAACATAGTCGGTTTAGTGCAATGTTTTTACTGCCTGGACATGTTTTTTTGATTGCATTTTGCAGTGATCAGCTGCTTTCCATGTAGTAGAAGTACTTTAAAATTTTTTCTTTATTTTAGGGGGAAAAAAAAAAAAATGAATTGAGGATGCAGTTGAAGTCCGGGCTGTCATGTATTCATTGATAATTGGGGGCTTTATGTTTAAAGATTATTTACAGAAATACATACTTCCTTATTCAGAGCTGTATCATTGGTCTCTATGCAGAAGCTTTTTTTTTTTTTTCTGCTTCCTGTGTAAACCTTAATGCTTACTTCTAATGGTTCGTACTCATGCTCTTCTCCTGAATCTGCTCTTTTTTCTCTTTATGGATAGGATTCTCAGCCTTCACCTCTTGCTTTGCTAGCAGCCACTTGCAGCAAAATAGGAACTCCTGGTGAGAATCAAGGAACTGGACAGCAACAGATTATTATAGATCCTAATCAAGGTTTGGTGCAGCTTCAGAACCAGCCACAGCAGTTAGAATTGGTAACAACTCAGCTTGCTGGAAATGCTTGGCAGCTTGTTGCTGCTGCTCCTTCTGCTTCAAAAGAAAATAATGTTGCTCAACAAGGATCTTCTGTTGGCTCGAGTGCAGCAAGTCCCTCCAGCAGTAACAATGGAAGCACATCTCCTTCAAAAACCAAATCAGGCAGTTCTGCAACAACCCCTGGACAATTCCAAGTCATTCAAGTACAAAATCCGAGCGGTGGTGTCCAATACCAAGTGATCCCACAGATTCAGACAACAGAAAGTCAACAACTTCAAGTCAGTCCATCTAATGCTGGTGGCCTACAAGACATACAGGGACAAATTCAGCTTATTCCTGCAGGGAATAGTCAAGCTATCCTCACAACTGCAAACAGGACAGCTTCAGGAAACGTTATTGCTCAAAACCTAGCAAATCAGACAGTTCCAGTCCAAATTAGGCCTGGTGTTTCCATACCACTGCAACTGCAAACTATTCCTGGTACTCAGGCGCAAGTTGTAACAACGTTACCTATAAACATTGGTGGGGTAACCCTGGCATTGCCAGTGATAAACAATGTGGCAGCCGGAGGAAGTGCTGGTCAAGTTGGCCAATCTGCGGAGAGTGGAGTTTCCAATGGAAATCAGCTAGCATCTACACCTGTGACTTCTGCCTCTGTTAGTACGATGCCAGAGTCTCCTTCCCCATCTTCCACCTCTACGACCACTGCCTCAACATCTCTAACTAGCAGTGACACGCTAGTAAGCTCTGCAGAAACAGGCCAGTACACAAGCACAGCAGGCAGCAGTTCAGAGCAGACGACTGAAGAACCTCAAACAACTGCTACAGACTCCGAAGCCCAGAGCTCCAGTCAGCTTCAGTCCAATGGACTACAGAGTGTCCAGGATCAGTCAGGTTCTCTTCAACAGGTCCAAATCGTAGGTCAGCCTATTCTGCAGCAGATACAGATCCAGCAGCCTCAACAGCAAATTATTCAGGCCATTCCTCCACAGTCATTTCAGCTCCAGTCAGGGCAGACTATACAGACTATCCAGCAGCAGCCTTTGCAGAATGTTCAGCTGCAGGCAGTGAGTCCAACGCAGGTGCTCATCAGGGCTCCAACTTTAACACCATCAGGGCAGATCAGCTGGCAAACTGTGCAGGTTCAGAACCTGCAAAGCCTTTCAAATCTTCAAGTTCAAAATGCTGGGTTACCCCAACAACTAACCATTACCCCTGTGTCTTCAAGTGGTGGCACAACCATTGCCCAGATTGCACCAGTGGCTGTTGCTGGTACCCCCATCACTTTAAATGCTGCCCAGCTTGCTTCAGTACCTAATCTTCAAACAGTAAGTGTTGCCAACCTGGGTGCTGCAGGTGTTCAAGTTCAAGGAGTTCCTGTTACCATTACCAGTGTTGCAGGTGAGTGTTCTGACAAAGTTCTTGGGTTTGTTTTGGTTTGGTGTTTTTTTAATATTGTAAGAATACCAGACAGTTTTAAATTAGTACTTTTTTCAGGATTTTCTGTAATAAATGTTAAACCCTTAACTGTGAGGAAATACTTTATACTTATCACTGAAGTTCAGGTTTTAAGGTAGCTGATACTCCTCCTAAACATTGAGCTAATATTACCAGTTGTGTCAATTGAAATTGAACTGTTTGTATTTGATGAACTTAAATGATCCTCTTCTCCATCTTAGACTAAAGACTTGTAAGCTTCGGGAGTAAACATGAGACTTTACTGTTAGAGCGTTAATAAATTTAAAAAAAAAAAAAAAGAAAAACAAAAAAAAACCCAATAAAAAGCTTTTTCCAACCAGGCAGTTTTCCTAATCTCTGCATGGGGGATGTAGGTTGAGAAAAGTGGCAGTAACTGGGATATCTTGTGTCATGGCATGCATTTGTATTGAACTATTTGTTGTTACTCTCCACTAGCTCCTAAAGTTGTTCCCTTAAGAGTTTGTGTTCTGCAAAGAGATTGCTTGTGCACAGCATACTTCCTATGACTTTTCTTTTTTAAAAAATAAAAATGACTGGTAATTATACCTCAATACTTGCTGATGAACTTTTGATTATGCATTATGAAATGCCTGTTTGGTTATGCTGGTCTAATAGTTGGGAAAGGAGCTATTAAAAGACTGGATAACAGAGCTTAGTTCTAAAGTAAATTCCGTGCAAGATCTCTGCAGTGTCCCACAAGGGCAACTCTGTAAAATTTGTAAACTTTTAATGTTTCAGATAAAATTTAATTTAGGGGTTCTCTCTGCTGGTTTGATAACTGCTTACATGAACTTGGTTTTATTTCATACAGGTAAAAGTCTTCTATTGTAGTAGTTACAAAAGCTCTTGGGTTAACAGCAACCTGACTATAGACACAGTTTTTTGTTATAAACTGTAAGAAGAAACTCATGTTAAACTACTGGCCAATCTGCATAAACAAATATTAGTGTCATATTGACTCTTAATCCTTTTTTTTTTTTTAATAATCATATGCTAAGATGATGAATGTTTTACTGGGCAAAGGATTCTTCCCTTTAACTGAAACATTTCTGAGGAGACTAAATGTAGTTTGATAATAAGGAATTTGCAATTGGGAGAATTTAATCTGCTGTGGTACTCTTTGGCACTTGATGGCACGTTGAAATAATAAGAGCTGGGTTGGATGCACTAAACCTGGCTTACTTAAGGGGTGTTACAGAAATGTTAATCTGTGTAATCAGAATTAAAATCTTGACCTTATGTTGAGCTGTAATGGTTCAAAAAAGATGTTTTGGTTAGCGGGATTTGAGCGATTCCTGCAGTATCTTGCAGGGCAATTTGCCTTGGAAAAAAATTTTCTTGATGGGAAGGCACTTGTTGACTACTGTTGTTAGACAGAAGTTCCTGCTTTGGTAGGGGACTCTTCATAGGAAGCTTGCTTTGGGAACAGCCTGTATTTGTGGGCTCAGGAAGAACCTTTCTGCATGCAGGTTTTTTTCCTGCTTACTAATGCTGTACAACTGTTTAGTACACATAAACAGGTATTAGAACAAGAGATTCTGGATATCATCTTGCTCAGTTATCTTGTCTGCACTTCTGCTCCCATGTGATGTCTTTTGGAAAATACAGGGATTGAGATTTGTAACTGAGGATGAAAGAAGGGAAATGAGGCACAAGTATGGTCCTGGAGAAGCCAAGCCTTAGTCATACAGGTTTCGTATATTAACTAAACTTAATCTTTGTGACTATTGAATTCCCCTCCACCTTCCAACCCCCACCTCTCAGGCAGGCATTATGGCTGTTTCTGTAGCACTTTAAATTTTATGCTAGCAGCACTCAATCCTCAAACCTTTTCTCCATTGCTTCATATATAAGGTACTATTTCTGTTTCCCAAGGCTTGGTGTTGTGGAGAAAGAACAAACTTTGAGAATGTGAGAGACTAGTTGTAATTTTTGCCTCTTATTTATGTCTGCTTCTCTCCTGTGAAACTTCCTGATGTTATGCTCCAGCAATGGAAGAGGTAGTAGCGTGGGAAGAAGAGTGAAGAGCATGATGTGCAGTCCTTAAGGCTATATCAAGTATTCAAGGAAAGAATGGTTATGAATCAGAAAGTTACAAACATCCTAAAATCTAAACTTTGCTTGCCACTTATAAGGAATAAACTGTCTTGATTAGGGATTTTAACTTCCTTTGATTTTCTCTGAACACTGGTTTTCCTAGTTGTTTCTGCAATGGGGTAATTTAGGTACCTTTTTCTTAGTTTTTCAGTAGTAAATGAAATAGTAAAGCAATAGAACTCTAACTGCAAATAACAAAATTTCTTAGCTTAAAATTATTATTGAAATGTTAAGCTAATGAACTGTTTTGGGAAAGTTTGTTTGTTTTTTTTTTTTTTTGGTTTTTTTTTGTCAAACAGATTCCAAATTGCAAAAGAGACAAATTTCACATTGGGAAGAACAATATTAAAATCTTCAAGTAAATATATTTGATCTGCTTTTTATAACTGTTTTTACTCAAAGTCTCTGGTCCCAAGGTGTGTAGGCTCTACTGTAAAACAAGCAAAATGAATAAATGTGTTTGGGTTTTTTTGTTGTGTTTTTCAGTTGAAAGGTCAAATGTTGCTCTTGGTAAGTTTCACATTTTGGGCTGTATGTTGTGTGTGGTCAAAAAAGCAAGGTAAAGCAGAGAAATTCTCACATCTTTTCACTTTCTGGCCTGAGGAAAAACTCATTTGATATCAGTGATGTAGATTAAAATTACTTTTTTACTGTGAGTGACTGAGCACTGACACAGGTTGCCCAGAGAGACTGTGGACTCTCCATCTTTGGGGATGTTCAGACATTGTCTGGACGTGGTCCTGGACAACCTGCTGTAGGTGGCTCTGCTTCAGCAGGGTGGTTGGACCAGATGACCTTCAGAGGTTCCTTCCAGTCTACACCACTCTGTGAAGTTTTGCTGAGAAGATGTACAAAGTGTCAGTCAAAGGAGTAATTAAATGTACAGAACAAAGATGAATGAGAAGATAGAAACTAAGTATCTGAGACTTAAAAACAGATCTCTAAACAATTAATTAAGAGCTAATCAAACATGGCTACCTTTATGTAGTCCATTGTTTACTTGAACATGCAGGGATCTACAAATACCTGCCTTGCTATGAGATCAATACCTGTCATGGCCTTTAAGCAAGCTAGTTCTATACGAAGTAAACTGCATTTCTTCTGTGCTGAGTGAATTGTTGTTTTAGACACGATTCCCTGCGGAATGGGTTTCCTTTAATATTAATAGGTTGTGACTTCCTGAATTTTGTTCCTATGAGCTTGGGGACAAGCAGGTCCTGCACAGTTCCCTTGTCTCTTTTTCAAGGCTTTTGCTGTGATAGCTGCAGATGCAAGTTCAATGGATTCCTGTCCATCTGCCTCCCTCCCCATTCTGTTCTTAAAATAAGGTATCCTTCACATTTTTAAAGCTTATTTTCATGCCCTTTTATTTGTCTGGATATGTTAATTGGCAATATAAGTGACTATGTGGAAGGAGCTACTAGATGGTTCTAAAAAAAATATAGTTCATAAACCCATTTCCTTTTGATGGGCTAAGTTTCTTTGTCCCTTGACACATTGGACTTGGTGTATATTTTTTTTAGGTATAGCATAGAGTGTGCACATTTGTGGATGCTGAAGAAAATGGGGTAAAATAAAACAGGCCAGTTAAACTGTAATGAAATGCTGAGTATTAACGGCTTCCCTGTGAAAGTTTTTTGTTCTGCCTGTAGGATTTCTTTCGCTTGAGATTTTGGAAGAGGTCACAATCTTTTTCTGAACTTGTTCATTGCTTTTGCTGACAGTGGGAATCTAGTGGTGGTAGAGATGATGTCTTCTCAGAATAATTCCCTGTTTCTTATGAAAAAAGAAAGTAATCGATCAGACTTGATACCTACCTTAATTATACATCTTGAAGTAATTTTGTTACGTGATGATGAAGGTATTTGTCCCATGCAAAAGTGTGTGGGACACTTCTGTTTTAAAAATAGTGGAAAATATTACTGGTATTTTATGTATACTTAGTCCAAGCTTTGTTAGTTGCTTTAGGCAAAATTCACCAGATTCCATAACCTTGCAACCAAGTTCAAGCCGTTTTGTTTAAGATGAGTGGTACCATGGCCTGAATTATGGGGAATTTGGAGTTCATCTACCAAAATAACCTGGAGGAATGACTTCTGTTCAGTGGAACAGCCTGTTGCCTGGCAATACTGGAACTGGACAGTTTTAAGTCTTTTGCAGAGTTATGCCATGGACTCTAAACCAGTTATTAATGACAATGAAATCCCATGCCAAGTGTTCTTATTGGGGCACTCTAATGAACTTTTCCCTTCTATTTCATTCTCTGTAGTAGTGTGAGTTATCAAGGCATTTTTCTCTTTGACCCGCTACTTTCATTGCACTACTGTTAGTAGTTATGCAGTTTGTCAGTACCTCCACATCTCATCCTGCTTTCTTGTGCCTTTTCTCATTTGTCTGCATCCAACTTCAGCCTGTCTTCAAGGTTTTCACTTCCCCTTCCTTCTTTATTAACTCTTCTTGTGTGACAGTCACTGGTTTTATGACTTGCTGTTCAAAGACTGAAGATATTGTCTGGATATTACTACTATTCTGATTCAAACTTTGTGAAGGGGTTTGAAACATACTACCAAATTCTTTAAACAGGAATAAAATTATATCTAAGATTAAATACATGTAACTCGGGAATAGTGACTGAAACAAGGGAAACATCACACCTGTTTTTAGAAAGGGTAAAAAGGAGGACCCTGGGAACTACCAGCCAGTCAGCCTCACCTCTGTGCCTGGTAAGATCATGGAAGACATCTTTCTGGAAGCTATATTAAGGCATATGGATGACAGAGAGGGGATTAGAGACAGCCAACAGAACTTCACAAAAAGCAAGCCGT